CACACACACACACACACATATATACATTTTTTTTTTTTTCCCCCAACAAATATGTATTTGACAATTCTCTCATCATTACTAACCATGACACCATTTCAAGTCCATATGATGCTTTTCTTCATTTTAGTAATTTTTTGAAAAAGTGATACAGGTTGTGCATTATATAAATATATATTTGAAACAAATATTTTAAATAATATCCGTTTTTTTAACATGCATTTTTTTTTTTTCAGATTTTCAGTGATTGAATGTGGGGTTTTCATTTAGAAAATCAACACAAAACTGTGTCAGGATCAGAGAAATGCACTGATGCACATCTAGTTTTACCAGCAGATGTGCACTAACAGTGAAACACACAGTGAGAGGATTCGAGCCCTTGAAACACATCTCATCTGATGCATTAAGGCTTCTGAACGCAGGATTTGGTGTAAAGTGCTCTAAAAACGTGAAGACTTGAATCTAGGAGGCTTTAGTCCATCCATTCTGAGAAAAAACCAAGTGAGGATGCGGCGTCCCCTACTTTAACGCAACGCAGGGTCTCTCATCCTCGACATCCGCTCAACTCAACCGTAATGTATACTAGTGCTAATGAAGAGGATCAGAGAGCCGCGGCTGGAAGGATTCTTACGGCATTAGCAGCCGCACTTGCTCTGCTCGGCGTCACGCGGCTCTGCCAGGTTGCTGGTGCTGTGGCCATTGCTGCGAACCATCCCGTCGGGGATCCAGGATTTGTCCACACATCTCTCCATACGCTTCATGATCAGATCCAGCAGAACCTCCACGGCACGACTCACGTTCTCGCCGCTCGCAGCGCTCGTCTCGAAGTACGGGACACTGCGAAAGGACGAAAAATAAAATGGATTAGAGCACAAACCACTACTCCGACACTTTTATTGATGCATTTCATTTAGTCTGATGCATCTTTCATTCACTCAAACTAAGTAAAGTATATTATTACGCATTATCATGATCTAAGAGGGATTTTTTAAAATGCATTGTGGGATTGTCTTGTCTATGAAGGATGCATGTGATAGAACACATCATCGATTTGCTGCCTAATTTTCAGAACAGCTTTTACATTGAGAGCGTGTTAATGAGCCCTTAAAATCCTGCCTACATAGGCAGCTCACTAGGATTGGGAACTGAATCAGCCTCATAAACAAACTTAAATGCACAAGATTTTATGTTGTTTCCTCATGACTCTTTTCCTGTCTGTGTGATATATGATCACATGAACACTCAGCATGACAACTGAAAAACACAAGCTCTTATAATGCAAGACCATAGCTAGCTGTAAAATGTATTATAACGTATTATTAACTATTATTTTAACTGGCAGTTTAAAACAAATAAAATAAAATAAAAAACTTAATTTTTTTTTATGTTTTGAAGTAAGCCTCATATGCTCACCAACCCTGCATTCATTTGATAAAAATAGTCATATTATAAAATATTATTACAATTTCAAATAACTGTTTTCTACGTGAATATATATTAAAATGTAATTTATTTCTGTGATGCAAAGCTGAATTTTCAGCATCATTACTCCAGTCTTCAGTGTCACATGATCTTCAGAAATCATTCTGATATGCTGATAATCATCAATTTATTATCAGTGTTTGTACAAAGACACACCTGGATGAGTTTAGATGTGAGGATCAGTCAATAGAATATGAGTCACAGCAAACTCACTGAACGCTGACGAGAACTAGAACCAAACGCAGTCAACATTACTGACAATAAAATTTAAAAAGTCATCAAATATTTTAAGTCGATCTGCTTGATAGGAGCACCATTCATATGATTTGAGCAAAGAATTTTCATGTAATCATACTGAAGTATTCATGAGACAGAAACCTTCTCAAAAGACTTGAGTGCTTGACTCACATGAACATAGTCAATATTAGCCTTTCGGTACACCGCCATCTTAACGTGTCACATTTAACGAGAGCTGCCCTCATCTTAGGCAAACACGCTAGACACAGCCCTCAAAACAAACATCCTCAGAGTCGCTCGCATCCAGAAACGACTCGCCTCACATGTGACATTACACTACAACTCTATCACGTGTAAATATACTGATAGATTTTACATAGATGCAAACTCCTCACCTTTCGGTGACAACTCACCTTTTGAGATCAAAATAGCTCACCTGTGAGATTTGCTTAGATCCAATGAGAACTCTTTAATTCAAAATCTATGTCAGAAAAGGGTAATATTTGATGTATTTGAGGTCTGAGATGTGGGAACGGTGAAGAGAGAGAGAGAGGGGGAAAAGAATTTACATTTTAGGTCAGCGTTTCCGTCTAATCAGCCAATGTTGTCTTCAATAGCCTGCATAGCACTTCATCGTTTAAAACATGGGATTTTGACCAAATATATATTTAATCTTGATTTTTGCAAAATGTTACAATAAGCTTAAAAAACATTTTTGTTTGTTTGTGAAAAATTACAGTTTTGGACATACAAGGTAATAAAAAATATAAAAAAATACCTTAAAATGAGCATGTAAAGCAAATGTCTTTAAAAGAAATCCCCCCTCACCTGTGTGCATCTCTGTTTTAATATCAGCACTAATTAATCTAATTAGCTAAATCACTGTCATGTGATCACATCACAACTACCTTGGAATAAGCTGCTCAAACAACTGAGCGCTTTGAATGGATAGTGAGGTATTTCTGTCCTGAAGTGCATTGATTTTCGAGGCAGTCGAGGTCACATTCAGACACAGACACAGGACGAGTCTCGTTTCTCACCCGTATTTCTCGGCCAGTTCTCTTGCACTCTCCGTTTTCACCGCGCGCTGGTCCTCCAGGTCTGATTTGTTTCCGCACAAGATGACGTCGGGATTCTC